AGGGAGGGAGGGGAGGGAGGGAGGGGAGGGAGGGAGGGGAGGGAGGGAGGGGAGGGAGGGGAGGGAGGGAGCCGAACAAATAACGATAACGCCGACAAAAATTCATTCATGAAGCAATTTGCTCTTGGGGTGAAGATAGGGCGTACTAAGAAATCGTTGTTTGATTAACATTGGTCTAAACGAATCGTTTTGAAGCTGTTTGGGGTCTATGCTGGTATAATTGCGAAGATAACAATTTACATGTGACCTTCTGCAGCTGTTTGTGTTGACAGCCAAAAGAAACTCAAGGCATATCCAAAGCTTACCTGACCCCATGGCTGAGAAAGTAGAAGACGTCGAGATGCAGCCTGCAACACCAGTGCATTCAGAGAAAAGTGAAAAGCCTCAATCCATTGGTGAAAAAGTCATCACGAAACCGGCAACAAAGATTGCAAAGGCAAGAGCGGCTCCAAAGGCAAAGAGCAAAGTGATCAAACAAACAATGAAGAAGCCAGCTGCCAGTCAGACTGCCAGGCCACCGGTACCCTTCAAGAAACCTGCAAGATCAGAAGAGCAGACCAAACCTTCCAAGAAGCAAGAGGCAAACTGGCATCTTGGCCTAGTCCCTCAAAGAAAAAACAGAAGAAGAAGCAGAGGAAGAACAGGAGAAGGAGGAAGATCCAAATGCGGAACCAGAAAAAAAAAGACTTCAGAAACAAGAGACAGAGTGAAGAACCAAAAATTTCTGCAAATGCTTGCAGCCGGTGAGATTCCAGAATGGATTGCGAGTCCAAATGTTATGGAAGTCTTGCGTGCATGGGTCCAAGCATTGGCAAGGAGCCAAAAAGGCTGCTTGGAAAGAGCGACACCTCTTGTGGCTACAAGGCAAACTTTGAAAAACAGAGTGTTCTTTTACTGCTCTTGTCACATTGCATTTGTGCCTTTACTTGTGCTGAGGAAAACCAAACGCAAGATACATTTTCTTCTAATGAAAATGCACTTGTCTCTTGTGAAATTCCACTTATGCCCTTACTTGTGCTCTGGAAATTCATGTGCAAAGTACCTGATACCTTTACTTGTGCTATGGAATTTGATTGTAACAAGTTCAAAAGGTGGTATGGGTATGTATTTCATGCCATTAACTGCTGAGAAAAACATGTTATAGTAGCCTTGCTTTGAGAATAGCTTAGCAGAAGACCATGCAAAACTACATGTTTTTGTCAAAAAGTACATGTAATTTGTTGTTTTCCCAAAATTTAGTTTACTTGAGATTTTACATGAAAATCAATGTAAATTGATCAATTACATAAATCCATCCAAAGACTAAATTTAATAAAGCAGCAGACTCAGGGCATGTCAAAGTCTCCAAAACGAGCATTTCGTATGAGACTTCCTCCAAAAAGTCAAGCGGGAAGCTCCATAGGAGCACACATCAAGCAGCCCTGCTAAGCAGTTTCGTGATTCCAGCCCCTCCAAACAACACCCGCTCACACGCCAATCCCAATGTCACAGCGACACTCACCTCCACCACACCTTGCAACCTCACGATTCCCTGCGCCTGCCACTTCCACACCTCAAAACCCGCACAAAGTACTGCGCCTGCCGCGAAAAGTGGCAATATCATATCACGTTAGCCACACGTTTGGAATCATTTCGACACGTTCTGAGCACCCTCCCATCCACGAAAATCGTCCCAACGTCACAGCCACATCCAACACCCCAAAAACACCACCCTCCAATCTAAACGCCAATCCCAATCTGACTGCGCAGAACACTGCGGATCTCACAAAATGCTGCGCCTGCGCAGTGAATTCATCCTCCCAAATCCAACGTCCCAAAACCACAGTATTGATTTGCGACGATTCTGACGATCGCCCTCCGTCGAAAAACCTCTCCAAAAGCTTCGCCCAATGGGGTCAAATTAGCGACGACGCGAGGACGACAGACGACGACAAAGAGCACGCGAGGTGAACACAGTCCAACCCCCAGACCCCCACTATAAACGAGAAACCTTCGCCCTTCGCTACGCATTCGGGAATGAGAATAAGTGGAGATGTCACTCTGACCTCTGAAGTTGCCCGAAACGATAAATGAGATCTCAAGATCCAACCCTCAACGGCGCCAGAGTTGCTCAGTGACCGAAGAGAATTCGAAGTCCTGGACGTCCCGGACCAAAGCGCAATGCTAGGAAGATAGTAGTTTTGAACATTGGTTTGATCTAGTTTGTTCGCTGTCCTCCACAAGAAAACGTTGGTTGCGATGGGAAGTTCCAGCGGTGTGAACAAAGTACCCTTGAGATGCCACGACTGTCGGGAAGCTCTTCTATATGTCTCTGACTCTACTAATGGACAGTTCTTAACAACATCGAGAATGAGACTGCTAAAACGCCACTCCGTCGCCACCATCTCTACGAAACTATGTTGTGTGAGGAACGGAGTGATCCCATTCTCCTTCGTACGGCAGCAAAGTGCCATGTTCCCTGAATTGTTGCGTCAAGTCTTGCGCTTTGGCAAGAAGACTGCAAGTTTATGATGACTGATATTGCCACAAATTGCCACCATCAAACCTGGCGGAAAACGCGGCGACTTGTGATCCCTCTCCCGAGGGGAAGTCCTTGCTGTCTGCAACCCGATCATCAGGCCTTGGCGCAAGGCGCAAAACTTAGGTTGAAAATCCAAGCGCAATGCTCGGAAGCATGGTAGTTGCTCATGATTTCTAGTGTTGGAATTTCTTGGAATCCACTGAACAAAGCAAGCGTCTGGTTTGGGGGGTTGATTAGCTCCTGCAAAGCTGGACCTGGCCAGTACTCAACACATCTCAATGCAGCAGGGTGACGTGGGCGTTGACTCACGGTCGTCCTGCGCAGAGCTTGTTCTTTGGTCAGCGAAATTTGCGCCGTCTGCACAGTTGTTATAGGCTGCGATTTGACTGAGTACCAAGCCTGTGACTGCAAATGGGCTGGAGCTTGAGAGAACTGACCACTGATGAGTATTGATATGTTTGTTTGTCTGTGATCAAAGTGGGGCGCCACTCCCAAACAAATCTATTGGGGGTGCAACCACCAAAAAACAAGGCGCACAAGAAAGGTCTGCGCATGTGTGCAACACCGCAAACAAGCAAAAGCGAAAACTCTGTTTCTGCGCAAGCAGTCATCAATGCCTTCACGTAAAAAGGCCACAAGCGGCGAAGCAAAATGCACATGCCAACCGACAAGCACGGAAAGCTGACACCACACTTGACACTCTTCACGTCAAGAAAAGGGGTCCGTTTCCGCGCTGTCACCATTCTTGCCTTGCGTCCCTTTCCGCGCTGTCACCATTCTTGCCTTGCGTCCCTTTTCCGGCTTTTCTGACCCGCCTCTCTTCCTCGACCTTTGCCTCACTCGTTTCCACCAAGCACAGCTGTCCTGTCTTTCGGAAGCGCTGCAAAAGCTTGGTGTTCATCATTTGGTGAGCAGGTCAGATACCTCTTTCCAGGTAGGCACCCATCGAAGACGCAACACCTCGTCTCCCACAAGGCGCTTGACCATCAGCATGTCCAGCGCTGTTGTTGCTCACTGGCCATACTCCCCGTCTTGTTGACGTGGTCATTGAACCCCTTTGCATCCGTGATGATGATGCCATCAATTTGCGGTGTAATCTCCGTACACCTATAGAACAATGCTCCAAACAACGCTCGGCTCTATTGTATATATTGCTCCAAACAACGCTCTATTGCGCGCTCATTGTCAGCTGCTGAAGTCATGGCACACGACTCTGCTGCAAGGCTGGAGCGAACAACTCTTTGCGCCTTACTGCTGTGGAACTCGATGACGCTGCTCTTCGTCGGTTGTCGTTCGACAGCCCTTAAAATGGATCTCTGCCTGCTCAGCTGCCACCGCATCCGTCTTTCCAAGGGATGCGTCAAAATAAGACACGAGTAGTCACGAGCAGGTCCTTTCCTGTTCCTGTTGGCACCTTCTGGGCAAGTGCGCTCTCGCGAAACAGGAATTCTGACATCACCAATGAGCTGGCCCTCTCAGCTGCATTGCCAACCTTCGATCTGCAGACAACTGTTCTCCTTGCAAACATTGACCTGCATCGGTCTCCACCTTTGCCGGTTGCACCTTCTCCATGTATTGAGGGATGTCTTCACTCCCAAAAAACGTGATGTCCTTCCCTTCCAGGCTTCGCAACTCCTTTACGTTGAACTTGGGGCTGATCATCTTTTGCGCAGCTTTCGATTCTCTCCCAACCTTGCACCGCCTCTCTTCCGTCAAGCTATGCTTACATCTCACGCAAGCCGCAGAAGAACACGGTTTTCATCTGAAATTTATTGTAGAGCGTCCGAAGAACAACTCTAAAATACTCTATACTAAAACCATTTGATGCCAGAAAAACTAAACACTCTACTCTAAGACTATCTAAGATTTTAGACGATTTCAGACGGACGTTCTCTTCAAGGTGAACTCTAAAATGTTAGTGGATTAGAGTTGGTGCCGTACAATGCTGCAGGGTGCGCAGATAGCTATTCACAAGCAGAAAGGCCACAGACCCACTTCCTCCAAAAATTTAGTGGTGGTGCCAGGTAGAAGGCTGTAGGGAAGGGTCCAGATAGCTATCCCCAAGCAGAATGAGGCCACAGACCCACTTCCTCTAAAATTTTAGCGTGGTTTAGGGTTGCTTAGATAAGTCTCAGACTGGTGAATGGAAACCACCAACAAGTACCCTCACTCCAAATTTTTAGAGTGGCTTAAAGAGGCTCAGATGATGAACCGGGTCTGTGGGCAAGGAGTCTCTAGAACCTCGTGTATAGAATCCGCCTGGAGTTTGCAAGTGGGTCGGTGACAAAGTTATAGAACCCTACTACTTTCACTAGGATGATCAACACCGCAGCCTTTTTGGGTGGAAGGATGCTTTTTGTCAGCATCATTGTACCGACCGTGCTACATGTTCCATGTTCGACCTTGCATGTCCCTCGAACTTTGCAAACCAACAACTTCTTTGTTCTTCCTTCCCTCACTCCCATACTACACACAATGAGTAAGTCCATGGATTGCAATGATCGGTGAACTCGAAAGAAGTGCAACTGCTGCCCATCAACAGATAAAGAAGGGACGTTCCCCATCAGCATTCACGATAAACGCATACAGGAACGGTCCTGCTGCAGAAAGAGAACACGATCAATCTTGTGACCAAGTGGTGACTGGCAAACATATTCAAACACGTGGAGAAAGCCAGAAAGTCTGGCTTCACGCAAGCAGTCATCTTCCCTGTCGCGATCGATTTCATCCCATGGCTGCGTCGGTGAGACAAAGGGGTCATTCGTCTCAGCTGATGCATGTACAATCACCGCACTGCAGGCAGGGACGCCAAGGAAATGAATCTCACACTCCAGAACATACATGTTCCCAAGTCGCATACTCGTCAATAGCACGTCCCCCAATGGACACATGGAGAAGTGGCGCATGTTGTTTTTCAAGCTCAAAAGCTCTGATGAGAGTGGCTTGAATGCATTCCTGAGCATTTAAAAAGAAATCCGAATCAGGTCATTCTCAGCGGCAAATTGAATCAGGAAGGATAGGTTGCAAAAGAAGCCAACCATCTTGGGTACGAACAACAGCACTCAGGCTGGTCAATCGCTCGGACCAGCACTGCCTCACAAGGGCCAGCTTAGGTAACGCATCACCAGAGACCCCCTGAGTAGCAAAAAGAAGCGCAACCAATCCATGAATTTGCAAAATAGCATTTCCCACACGATGGAAAGCCAGATTCAAATCCTTGGGAAGCACGATGGTACCCGTTGCACCGAACATAGAGAGAAAGACACATGGATCAACAAACGTGAAGTTGTATCCATCAGTTTTTAATCCAGCAAACAAACCACGCGTCTGCCAATGCTCTTTGTGCAAAAGGTGCTGTGGGGTGTAGGAAGCGCAAAGTGTCGGTAGATAATCCTGCTCAGAGATGTTTTTTGCAGCCAGTACTTCTTGTTCAGAAGCATCATCAGCGGCCTTGATCCGTTTAGCTGGTGGAAGGAGCTTGTGGTTTGCGTAAACGCACTTACGCCCATCATCCAGAATCAACGCCCTTTTGAGAAGCGAAACTGGTATATAGCTGGCAGATAGGGTCATCCCATGAGATTCGAGCCACATGAGGGCAAATGAACTTGTCAATGGGTCTCTCTTTGGGCACATCACGTCTCAGCCACACGGCTAACCACCTTGTTCGACAATTGCCAGTTAGCTGATGCAAGTCTTGTCACCAAAAGCACTTGTATCCTGCCAATTGGAGGGCAGCTTGAATCACTTTCCAATGACTGTGAGCCTCAATGCTGTCACTACTTTCAAACACGACTGCAATCGGTCGAATCTCGCAAATATGCTCCACACAATCAACAAAGCAAAAGCCTAGCAGCAAGGAAGGCCGGAATTTTGCCTCCTCGACTCCACGACGGGCACGGCGGTGAGCGCGTCATCACAAGGTTCTCATGGCAGGACGTAACACGGGATCTATGAAGGATCCGCAACGTCACCCAAAAGATCAGTGGGGTTGACCTCATGCGAAATCGGACTCTCCAAAAACCCCACATTGGTGTGGGAGGCGAACACTTGTCCCTGATTTTGGTTCTGCAACCAGGTCATGGCACGGCGCCACCCTTCGTAGGCTCCGCAAAAGAGATGGGTGACATGCCATGGAAATTCACCGCAAGGGCACATCAGCAACAAATGGCACCATCACTACGAGTATTTGGGCCACGTGAAATACCCCATCTTCCCAACTTGGACTTGAAGTCGAGCATGGCAGACCGGACAGTGCACAAGGAAAGCCGACCACGCTGGCGGAATTGCTCAACGGTTTCCATACTGGCGCGTTGCGCGCGGAAGCAGACAGCAGGGCCATCAAGCACTTCAGCGATAACACCAAAAGGGTCCACGCATCCTTGTCACCACGAACATCACCTATGGACGCAATCGACCTCAGAGCCGATTTCATTGCGGCAGCGAGGGGCTCGTGCGTCCCACCAACACTCCATTCGATGAAACCACGCACAGCACCGGTCCACGATGTCACTCACTTTCCATAGTACACAGAGCAATCCACCCACTGGTGAGTGTGTCCTCTATTGACGCTTCACCCCCACGTCTTCCGGGCATCAAAGCCGCGGCCCTTGCAATAAGGCGTAAGCGGAAGGACTGTGAGCCCAGACGGCTCAACAGAATCCATAATAAAGGGATCCCACCAAACAGAGACCTTGGTCGAGGGGCGACATCAAACAAAATCCTTGGTCGAGGGATCCTTGTTCAAGTGACGCCGTGAAACAGAATCCTTGTTAGAATGGCCCCGTCGAACAGAATCCTTGTTCGAGGCACCCCGTCAAGCAGAATCCTTGTTCCTGTTCAAGGAGCCCCGTCAAGCAGAATCCTTGGTCAAGAGACCCCGCGTAGACCATTTTGCCTTAAACCGACAAGAACATGTTCGATCAGAATACTCTTCTTGTTATTATCACTGTTGCTATTATTGTCCAATCGATGATTTTCTCGGGCGCTCCCTGCGTCTTCCTCACAGCCCTCTGTATGGTCTTCGAAAAAAAATGTCCATGGGCTCTTGTTCATTATCAAGAGGATCTTCATTCTGCTCGTCGGGATCTGGCTCAGCCTCTGCCATGCGTGCTCCATGCTCCTTCTTCACAACCACCTTCTTCTTGTAGAAGCGTTGTTCCTTTGGCTTATTATGTCCCTTTCCTTCTCCTCCATACCTGAAACTGCTCCTCTTCTCCTCTTATCTCATCTTCATGAATTCGATTGCATCGCACACGAACAGCCTTCTCGCAGCAGGCGCCAGCAGCATAGTGGACATCATGTCCCTCCCTGCGCGTC